TGGTAACATGTCTTCATATTTTCACAAATTGGAAGGGGGTTGTGGCTCAGAGGATGCAATTTAAGCTTTGCTGGAACAAATGTCACATTAGAAATGGCAGACGCTGCTATCTTTGCTAGAAGAATGATGAGCAATGCAACGTTGTAAGAGGTATTTCATTTTGTGCCTCACCGTGGCAAAGAGCTGATGTTTAAATCACCTGCAGCTCATGACTTTGCAGATCGAGCATCTGGCACTGGGGTAGACTGAGTTGATTACAAACTTCAACCTGCTAAACTTTTCATTAATGACTTCCTAAGTCTCCCTTCTTCTTTAATAAAGTCACTGAAGTGAAGTTAACCAAATGATCTCCCTTGCTTTCATGTGATTTTCTTGCACTGATGTAAATGTGGGCTAAAGACACATAAGGCTCTTTTTTCTTCTTTATTAACTATCTTGATTAATTTCCTAGGTACAAAAGGGCGTACCTAAGTAATAATTAACCAGACTTGACTTGGTGGTCTCATTAAGGTGCTGAGGAGAGCTGTGGGAGACTCAAACACAATGTTCCTGGTTGGCTGCGGCTAAACCCCACCAAGTCTCACAGTTCCCTGTATCCCCCATGGGACAGGGATGGAGAAGCTGCTGCTTCTCTTCAGCCTCCATTATTTACTGATCATGTTACTTTTCTATGGTTTATTCATGGAAATGAAAGCATCTTTACCCATTAAAATATATTTATTTTTTGAATCACTTACACAAATGTGTTCAGAAATTGTCAGCCCAAAGAGCAGGGAACAGGATATTCACAATGACAGCTCTGGGTCTTGCATAGAGAAAAACCTCACACACAGACCAAGAAAAGGGAGAGGCAAATAAAAGAAAGATGGATTTACAGAGCTTTTAAAGTGGGGTTTCTCTGCAAATAATTTTGCAGTCAGGAGTTTGAACCTATTTGGGAGCTTACGATCAGACACGAGTCTTTATCCCTTTAATTCTGACACAAAGCACACCACCCTGGCTTCTCCAGCTCTGCTGCTTCCAGCAGGAGAATGTCTTCTGACGGTGTTACTCCACAGAATAGAGCCTGTAGGGCAGAGCAGTTTTAAAGGGCTAAGATTGCTTTTAAATGCTCTTTTTCTCCTGTTATCTCATGTGCTGCTCTAGGTCTGCTGCTGATCATTTATTCACGATGTAAAAGGAAACCCAGCCCTTTGATGGAATGATTTTACTTTGGAAAAAAAACCTGCTTTTCCCTTCATTTATTTCTCCCCAACAGCAGAAGTTGTTTCTACTCTTAAAATACAAAGCCATGAACGATATTAAAGGGAAACATAAAACTGCTTCCATAAAATGTTATTATATCATCCCTATGAACTCTTTTCAGTGGGAAAGGGTATATAAGCTTATAACACCAATTAGCTCTTTGATGTCTCCTTTACTTTCAGACAGGTCAATCTCTGTCTCAAAGGATGCATGAATCTTGCATCCTTACCTCCCGAGTCCCAGCCCATGGAAGGTGAAGTGGTGGCTTTGTGAGCACTGTAAGTACAAAGTGACCTGATTAGAAGCGCTGACATGCACAAGTCTCATTCACTTCCCTATCCCACTGGATAGATGATGACTAGTAAGTCTCTATGCAGGTCTCTCTAAATCACTGTGCAAAACCCAACGCTGAGTCAAGGTGGGATCTCACCCATATGGATTGAGTGATTGGCATGACTTGCACCCGATCCACCAAGCATCCATTGCACAGCTCATGCTTACACATACCTACAGTAATACCATGGTGTCATAGAATGGTTTGTGTTGGAATGAACCCTAAAAACCATCCAGCTCCAACCCCTGCCATGGGCAGGGACCCCTTCCACTGGAGCAGCTTGCTCCAAGCCCCTGTGTCCAACCTGGCCTTGAGCACTGCCAGGGATGGGGCAGCCACAGCTTCTCTGGGCACCCTGTGCCAGCGCCTCAGCACCCTCACAGGGAAGAGCTTCTGCCTAAGAGCTCAGCTCAGTCTCCCCTCGGGCAGGTTCAAGCCATTCCCCTTGGCCTGTCCCTACAGGCCCTTGTCCCAAGCCCCTCTCCAGCTTTCCTGCAGCCCCTTTAGGCACTGGAGCTGCTCTAAGGTCCTCCAGAGCTGGTGGTCCTTCTCTACCACTCAGAGGTTGCAGGATAGGGCTTTATAGGCACAGAGCTCAGAAGCTTTCCCCTCCTGCTAAGTGCTGTGAGAATAACACAGGGAAAAATACAGGGAAAATGATTTTTTCCCTTTAATCTTATCTTGCAAATCGCTTCCTTGTTCTGACTGTGCTTCATGGAGCTCCCCCTTCTCTTCCTACAGAAAATATACCTGAAATAACATTGGAGTAAGTGGATATATATATATTCAGTTATATATATATTATATATATATAATTGAAATAATAATTTATATCATCACAGCTTCTTCATTGCAGCTTCCATTGCAGATGGGATGCAAACACTTCTGCAATCTCTGAATAACCTCCCCACAAACAGCACCTTCATGGGGCTTCCTGCAGCAGCTGCCTCTGAGGAAGGCTGTAAAAATGACCAAGTGTGGGGTTTTGCTCACAAATATGATAATGTTCTTGGTGCACCAAACCCCCTCAGCTTGGCAGAGCCACAGTCTCACATTCTGACCAACCATCGGGTCCTGAAGGTCCAGTGGTAGAGGATAATTAGCTTAAGAAGCATTTCCTCTACGTTATTTGTAAGGGCTTTTGGTGTGCCATATGGATTAATAGAGATTGCCATTTCAATGCTTCTAGTTTATAATCATGGCTTTATTACTCATAAAAATGCAAAAGAAAATGTTAATGATGATTACACCAAAGACTAATAAGTGAAAGCCTTGGGTTATACTTTTCATTTCTGAAGATATAAATGCAATCACTTAATAATTATGCATATTTTTAACTATTGGGTTATTATTTCTCTATGTGCTTGCAGTTAGCCCAATTAATTTTAAGCTCTGTTTATATGTTTTAGACGTGCAATTAATCTCCAATAATTTTTCTTAGCCCCTTGCACAAGGGTATTAACTATTCCAGACACCATTGGAATGAAGAACTGTCCACCTTGGGACAGCACAATAAATACCACTTTCATGTGCTTAAACCAGACAAGGTTGTCCTGAAGTACTTACAACACTAAACTGTCTCATATCAATTGAGCTCTAAAAATAGACTGTTCTTGTTAACAACATTGGGATCTGTGTGGTTTTTAGTTAGAAAACTAGCCTGGAATTTAAAAACTCTCTGGATTTTAATGCGAAAGCAGCTTATTTTGTCCTCACTTTATTTTGGGTTTAATGAATTTATATTGACTTCCTAGAGCTAATACAATTTCTATTTCTGCATTTGGAAAATCTCTTTGTGGTTTTAGCTTTGGTTTTTTTTAGGCTGATGAATTAATTCTTGGTTTTGTAATAGTCTTTGTAACGCCAGAGAAGAGGTGCTCAAATGAAATACTGCATCTTTTAAATGGCAATCAAATCAACAGAAAACTTCATACCCAAAGCTTAATGGGTGCAGGACACATCCTGATGGCGTATGAAGCACTCTGGTGAATCCCTCCTTGCAGCTGAGCTGCTGTGGGAAGGGGTATGAGCATCCCAACAACCCAACATTGCTCTGTCCATACCTTTCTCAGTGGGGCCACCATGATGCTGGGGACCTCAGCCTCAGCTCCAAGATACCATTTAGATTAAGTGTAGTGTTGGGTTAGGGTTCAGAGAGCACAAATGCCATGCAGCTTAGGGTTAGGGTTCAGAGAACCACAAAGCCTACAGCTCCAGGGACACCTGGGTTCCAAAAGGGTACCAAGGGAAGCACAGCACTGCACCAGCACTGTTCCTTCCACACCTTTCTCATCTGAGCCACCCATGGTGCTAGCTTGGGACCTCAGCCTCAGCTCCGAGATGCCATTCATCAGCTTAGGGTTAGGGTTCAGAGAGCCACAAAACCTGCAGCTCCAGGGGCACCGGGGCTGCAAAACACGCACCAAGGATTAAGCATTTTTGTTCTTTCTCCCAAGCTGCCCTCAAGGAACCGCCTTGAAGAAACCCACCAAACAACTCATCCTCCTTCAGAACTCTTACCAGAAAGCCAGAGGGGCTGTTGGGGTGCCAGCACACTCATGGCCCTGCCACCTGCCAGCAGTGCATGACAGATTGTGCCCCTGCGCCTGTCTCACTGCATCCATCACTCATCTTTGATTCAACACTTGTGTGACATGACCATCAAAGTGTGGCTCGTGGCCTTGGTCCATCCCCTGGGACAGCCAGGTCCTGATCACAACGATCCTTCTGCTGTGTGCCATGGCATTGGCACTGCCTGTTTCTGCACACACTGCGATACCCTGAGGGATGTGAGGGTGTTTCTGCAGATATTTGGTATCAATGTTAAAATGAAAATGGTAAAATGTAAACCTTCCACGAGCTCAGCACCTGATGATGCACCTGCACACGGTGGCTAGGCCAAACACCAGCCAAAACAACCAGTTTGGTGTCATGCAGAAGACCTAACAGATACCAGTAGAGTACCACTGCAGGGAACTGCACCACAACCATCATACTGGTGTTTGCCTCTTGTATTTCTACATCTTGTTCCATTGTAAGCAGAGCGGGAGTGAGGATTTGCACCTGGCTTTGGCAAGTTGGAGACCCTTCTGTCAGCTATCTACTTGGTCCAGAGCCAGTGGCACAAACAACGCCTTGTTTGTATGGCTACATGCAAACTACAAGTACAGTCTATGCCTACATACATCCAAGAAGAGAGAAGAGAAAGAAGGGAGGGAAGGGAGAGAAGGGAGAGAAGGGAGAGAAGGGAGAGAAGGGAGAGAAGGGAGAGAAGGGAGAGAAGGGAGAGAAGGGAGAGAAGGGAGAGAAGGGAGAGAAGGGAGGAAACAGATGAAAGGGAGGAAATAGAGGGAAGAAGGAAGGCAGGAAAGGAAGGGAGGCAGGGTGCCTTAAAATATGTTTAAAAGCTGACATTTCCCATCTATAAACTGATTTTCTCTAGTGCATCCCCAGTAAGGCTTTTCAGTTGGTTTAAGCACATACCATGTACAGTTAAGTGCACCTGCTTCGTTTTAGGAGTGTGCTGAGTTTGCACAGAGCAAGTGTAGGGCCCGTCATCTGTCACATCGACATCCTGTATCTGCAGGCTGTATTCTCTTCTGTTTGCTGTGGCGATTGAAACCCGAGGATCTACTGACCACTTGTCACTTCCAGCAAAAATAATACTCGACCGGTTCAGCCAGGCACCTTTGGAAGCTCCATCCTCCAAGTAACACCTGGGGAAAAAGGGGAGACCATGAGTATGGGAAAGTGAGAGCTTCAAAACACCGTTAACTTGCTATTGATTTGTGGACTGAATACAGCGACAGTATGTTAGAGTTGAACCTCAGAACATGAACCATTTGTTAATTTGCGAATCATCATAAAACCAGCAGCTGACTTTACAAACACACAATGAACACAGATATCATTTTCTGCTATATTCTTCCTTTCTGGCTTTCCTGCTGTGAGTGGTCAGTGGAGCAATAGGCAGCAAGTCTCAGTGATTTCTGATCTAGACACAATGACTCCATCGAAGCAGCCCCTTCCCCTCCACCTTCAACCCCTCCTGACCAGGAGCAGGCATGTGTGCTGTGCAAAATTACTCCTCTTACCTAAGAAACAGCAAATTTCAGCTTGCGTAGTTAAGGAACCAAGAGATTTTTTCCATCAAAAACTCTGGGGGGACCTGAGAGCAGCTCCAGTGCCTAAAGGGGCTGCAGGAAAGCTGGAGAGGGGCTTGGGACAAGGGCCTGTAGGGACAGGCCAAGGGGAATGGCTTGAACCTGCCCGAGGGGAGACTGAGCTGAGCTCTTAGGCAGAAGCTCTTCCCTGTGAGGGTGCTGAGGCGCTGGCACAGGGTGCCCAGAGAAGCTGTGGCTGCCCCATCCCTGGCAGTGCTCAAGGCCAGGTTGGACACAGGGGCTTGGAGCAAGCTGCTCCAGTGGAAGGGGTCCCTGCCCGTGGCAGCGGTTGGAGCTGGATGGGTTTTAAGGTCCCTTCCAACCCAAACCATTCCAGGATCATATGATTCTGTGAACTTAGAATCCAAAAGGATATATTTTCCTTTTCAAGGCGTTATTAGATTTGTCATTGCTGATCATGTTCAAGACATCTTGTTTAAAGCAAACATACATTCAATTAGCATGGATTTCCCTGCTGACAGCAACAATGGAATACAAATCGGAGTTCTATTAAGTATTTCTTAAAAGCTCTTTTGTATGGCAGTGACTCAGACAAACGTGATTTGTTTATTATGTCATACTTAAGCTTTTCCCAATTATTATTAGAACAATAACGAATAACTGTGCTCTTTGGGGTATAATAGTCACCTTAACGCAGCTCAATGAGCAACAACGCCCCTACAATCGGCAGCAGATGTACTCCAGCCGGGTTCTTTTCCTTCTGAATTTCAGTTTAACAATATTCGCCCGTAAACAAAGACTTTGTTTTTGCTAAAATGAGTAAAAACTGCAGCGGGAGAATGAAAACATGTCTATCTGAGGGGTTTGACAGCATTTCGACACAATATCTCAGGGGGTTGAACATGGCACCGGAGATTGCTGGGGAACTGTGAGCTGAATGCACCTGTGTAGCCACTGGGAACAGGAGAAACTAATCAGCTGAGAAATACAAGGAACAAGGTATATTGCAAAATCTCATTTGTAGTCCGTTTCACCATCTGCAGAGTCAAAACCCAGCCCAAGTATTAAAGGTCAATGTTAATTGAAAATCCTTTCTGTGGATATGCTACCCAAAAAAAGCCACCCAGGCAGAACAGAAGTAGAAGCTTCTCCGAAGGTAATTAGGCACTGCAATATGCTGCTGTTGTCAATAATTTGTGTTGCCTATTAGGAAACATTTGTAATTTCTTCCCTGAAATAGCTTTCCTTCTGAAGTTGCTCACTTGCACACTGGGACAGAGGGGTGCATGTGAAGCATGTGATTAAACGGCTCTGACAAGTCCTAAGAGCAGCTCAGCATCAAGGACAGCCACTAAATCCTTGTGGGAAAAGAGGCAAGAAGCTGGTGCATAGTGATGGAGGTGCTTCCTAGCACTGTTCAGCCAATGAGAAGGAAAGGAGATGGCTGTTGGGGTGGGATCCCTATGGATCTGGTGGGAGAATGCAGTAGTCAGTGGGAACAGGGTGATGCCAGAGAATGCAGAGCTGCACCAGAGCCCTCACACTGGTAGAGGCAAAGGAGCAGCCACTCCTCTACACATAGGCTGGTAGGATAGAAACAGCCCCAGGAGATACTCTCCTTTTTAATGCAACTAATGGTTTTGGAGTAGCCATCAAACTTCTCTGTTGACTGGAATGAGGGAGTGACATTGGTGACAGGAGACAGAAAGGACAATAAAGAAAGACACTAAAGACCACTCCTCAAACCCACAGGCATTTCAAGTGATCAGTTGATCATCAGAGACCATCAATGTTCAACTGATGCTTGGACAATGCAGTCTATATGTTGTCAGTGCAAGCAAGCACAATGCTGGCCTGGGAATGCTCAGCCAGAATGATGATTTCTCTGAGCATCCAGAAGAATATATGAAACAACAGCAAGCGAGGAAAGGAAATATAATGATGTGAAACCCAGTAAACACCATCAGATCACAGCCCTGTGTGATGTATGAGAATACAATGAGGATAAAATCACTGGAGGTCCTCCAAGTACCACTTTGCCACAGGAAAGTGTCATAAAAACAGGAGGACTGAACAAAGGAGATCACAGAATCCCAGAACCCCAGGTTGGAAGGAACCTCAAGGATCATCTGGTCCAACCTGTCCAGCCGAATCCTAACAGTGTCTAATGCTGGGGATCACCACTTCCCTGGGGATATTATTCCAGTGGCTGATTGTTCTCAATGCTTAGACCTGAGCAGGAGAAAACGGTGACAGCTTGGGTAGAGAGCACGAGAAAACAGGGATGGGAGAAGTGTATCCAGGAGGAAGCAAGGAGAGTTCCTCTCGGTGGCTGAGAAGTTAAGGGATAAAAGGACAGAGAGAACACACAGCAGGAACTTTATTCCATGAGCTGGTGAGTAAGACTGAACCTGTCTGCAGTGAGGTTGAGGACATTTTACTATGGCTCAAAACCTGAGCACTGTACTCCAGGTTTCCATTAAGAAGGTGACATCCAGCATATGGGAACAGGCAGAGCAGCAATGAAGCCATGGGCAGAGAAAACCCTGGATGGACTCAGGTCTAAAAGCATGAAACTGCAATTCCAGGAGCATGTGTGGGGTTTTCAACCAACCTGAAAGTGGTGCTGTGTGACAGGGAAAGAATAAATGTATTATCTACATTTAAGGAAATGTGGAGAGTGAATCAGGTAGATTTCAGGCTAACCACTATGCCAACCACAATAGAATTCGGGGCTTTAAAACAACTTTCAGAGCGGAAGGAATATAATACAAAGTGCAACAGACTAATGGGACATTTTATTTGATAAAGAGGTTTTTTACATGAAGGAAATCCAACAGAAGAGGCAAATGCAATAGATCTCATCTCTTTGATAAAACATTAAAATAGCACAATTATGGAAACTGTTAGGTGGGAGAAAATGGGGATTTCGTAGCTGAAGCATATGGCAGTATTGTTTAAGGGGGAAAATGACATTCCCTTTAGGAATAAGAAACTAGAAGCATCAGGCTGACATTCTTCAGAAATGGAACATGAAAATAACCATTCATTTAATTAATGATCTCAATGTGAAATCTGAAAGGGTTCTGAAGGAAGCTGTATAGAATACAGGATAAAAAATCACAGTTTATATAGCAGAGAATTGGGATGTCATGGGGAAGCATCTCTTTGAGGACGGAGAGTGCAGCAGATGTCTGTGAATCCCTGCAGGAGGAGTTTTGTAGGGTCTGGTCCCATTTGGAGAAGGAAGGTGCCACTTACAAAGTCTTACAAACATTTCCCAATTGATTCTAATGAACAGAAGACTGGGGAGAAGCCAAGATTCACTGTCAATTTTCCACAATGGATTTCTTTTCTACTGGTATTTCTAGAGCAGCTGGATGCAGTCAGTTTGAAATGAGGTTCTGTGAAGGAAGCCTGCAGTTTCAATGGCCATTTACCACCTTGCATTACTGTGTGCTGGGCTGCACCCCCCGAGCGTGAGCAGCAGCTCAGAGAGGGGATCCTGCCCCTCTGCTGCGCTCTGGGGAGACCCCCCCTGCAGCCCTGATCCAGCTCTGGGGCAGCAGCACAAGAGGGACGTGGAGCTGTTGGAGCGAGTGCAGAGGAGGCCATGGAGATGCTGCGAGGGCTGGAGCAGCTCTGCTCTGGAGCCAGGCTGAGAGAGCTGGGCTGGGGCAGCCTGGAGAAGAGAAGGCTCCTGAAGGGGAGACCTGAGAGCAGCTCCAGTGCCTAAAGGGGCTGCAGGAAAGCTGGAGAGCATCTTCCCTCCTCCTCCAGCTTCCCCAGCTGAGCGTGATGTATGGTGTACTACATGCAGTCGGGGTCAGCTGTCCCAGCCATATTCCTCCACAGCTCTTTGTGCACTCCCAGCCTACTCGCTGGTGGGGTGGTGTGAGGAGCAGAAAAGGCCTTGACCCTGCTAAAGCACCACTCACTGGTAACAAAAACATCCCTGTGTTATCAACACTGTTCATAGCACAAACCCAAAACACAGCCCAACACCAGCTCCTGTGAAGAAAACTGACTCTATCCCAGCAAAAACCAGCACAGCCCCAAAGGCTGCCAAAACCTCTCAGGTCATAGAATGGTAGAATCAGGTGGGTTGGAAAAGACCTTTACGATCCATCAAGTGTAACCATTAGACACAGCCCTTTTGATATCAAGTCTTTCCTGCTGAGTAAGGGTGAGATACAGCACTGCAGAAAGAAAAGGGAGACCTCTCACTCTTTCAATTGATATACAATGGTATTTGCTCCAAATAACGTTATAAAACAAATAAGACATCTGGGTTGTTTATTTGTAGGCACATGATTATCATGGGTAAGATGAAAACCTGCTAAACCCAACTCTCTTCTCTACCCCACTCAACAGCAAACGCACTGCAGTGTTCTACTGCCCTGAAAACATGACAGCCAAGGACTGGAAAGGGAGCAATGTTCAGCTCTTGAGAAACATTGTCGGCTTTGGTGAAACAGGTATTTAAAATGGAACTGGGAGGGAACATTCCAGTCTTGTTCAGACCCTGCGGAAGCATGCTGAGTTGTGGAAGCACACTGCTTTCAGTCTAGAAGTTTTATCCCAAAGAAGGT